AATTGCTGCAGTTTTCACTGTTCTCTTGCTTTATCTCATGATTTTGTTCAGGTAACATTTTTCAACCCCGTCATTGAGAGACGACCAAAGTTGCAAAGACAAAAGAAGATTTTCTCGAAGCAGCAAGGTGAGACATTGCTGTCAGTTGTTAGGTAGCTAAAAGAAAGGAGAGATTTTTTGTGTTATTCATAGACACTAGTTGTTTTGTTGTTGTTGTTTTACTGTTTTCCACTGCTCCTCATCACCTTCACGTATCCCTTTGTGTGTCTCTTTCACTTTATCAGGTAAAACGTTCCTGCGAGCCCCTCAGATGAACATCAACATTGCCACCTGGGGCCGCCTGGTGAGAAGAGCCATACCAACAGTCAGCACGAACTCCTTCAGCCCGCAGGCCCCTGAGACTGGACCCAGCAGTCTACCTGGTTCACCTACACCTTGCAGGTACAAAAACACACATGCACACTGATGTAAACAGTGCAAAGACATTTTTAACTCATTCTTTAACTAGAAGGGCCCTCGGAAGAGCGTTTGCCCAACCAACAGTCTCCTTAAATTCCATCAAGCTGCACCAAATTGCACACACTCATAGATATCAGTTCTCTAAATGTGCCTTATTTCTTCATGTGTATCCATAAATGATTCCCTGGGAAATAGGGGAAAATTTCAAAAAACAAAGAAAAAAGAGGGTTGAAAACATAACCTCCTTGGACGAGCAGACTAGTAGTTGCTAAAAATGGTCAAAATAATCGATTCTACAACAGTGTTTAATTGTTTGTTTCACTTCCTAGCTCTAATCTGTAAATCTAAATTAACTGACATCACTGTGGTTTCAATCGCATATGTGAGTGTTCGTCTTTTTTCTATAGTAAGTGTAAAAGGACAAAAAGTAATTTAAGTGCTACCTTCTCATTTGCTTGAGCATTGGTGTCATTACTAATCTGTACCTCTGTCCTGTCACAGTGACCCACTGGTGACCAAACTGGACTTTGACAGAGAGCCCACACCAGGACCTAAACACTACCCAGTGCCCGATGACATCAGAGAACCACTGGTGCAGGACAAGATGCCAGACAAGGAGGAAGTACAGGTACAGGTGTTCCAGGAATCACAAGTAGTGTTGATCAGGCCCCAAGGAACTGAAGTAATCACAGACTAAAATGACAACCGAAGCAGCAGCTGAGCTTGTTTTCTGTTTAAGACAAAGCTTCTCTCCTGTAGACGTATGTTCTCTAATGCTTCACACTGAGCCCGGGCAGAGGAGGAAGTGACAAAAGAATTCTGTAGCATGACCAGATTCCCAAATAAAGTCAGTTCATGCAAAAGGAGACAAAACACAGTATTGGCCACTGTCTCATAATAAAATGCGTTAGCCATGCTTTTATTAAAAGCAATTCAGGTATTGTTCACATTACCATCTCTATTGTTTATGATTTATCAGTCGGGTAACAATGACAACATTTGTTCTGCCAAACTTTAGAGTTTTATTAAGTTAATTGAATGTTAAAATGTTGTGACATCGTTTCTTTAAAATAATTATGTCCCTGCAGATGAACACTGTCTTGCATCTCTCAAAGATGTGTAGATCTTTTCTAATAATATAATAATAACTATATGTATAATAAATAAGAAAAAACAAAACAACAAAAACCTTCCACTGTGCAGGATGCGCTCGCCTCATTTGACTTCCTGAACAAGAGAAACAGTATGGTGGTGAAGGGAGATCTGGATGGAGGGGTGGAGCAGGACATCCAGCACCCGGACCTGGAGCTCACTGCCTTCCAGAAAGACACAGAGATAAGGTGAGAGAGACACATGCCTGGTGGGTTTGCTTTACTGGTAAACTGGTGTGACTTTCACACGAAGGTTCTTCTAGAAAAAACTGTTTCCAATCATACTATATATCGTTACCAGCATCAGTGTTGGTCTCTTAATGATTTACACACTCTTAGAATCAGGAAACAATAATGTGACACAGAAAAATCGTTAATTCTCAAACTTTTTGGGAACCTAGCTCTAGGTTTTTTTTTTTTTTTTTACTGTTAACATCCTTCAGTGGTCATTTTCAAGCTGAGGACATTAGATAAACGTATCCACTGAAGTAGTTGCATGAGGATAAACTCTGTCCTCTGGCTTTGACATTTTCATGCTGCAGTAAAAAAATGACTTACGTTGTCTGCTGCAGCGTTTTCTTCTTTTCTTCTTTATTCAGTGAGTCTACACTGAATTCTTGATTACTCTTCTTAAACACTGATTTCTTACCAGGGAAGAAGAGCAGTTCCACTTCAGCCTCCAAGACTTTAAATGCGTGGCTGTCCTCGGACGTGGTCACTTTGGAAAGGTACGCTTCATTTGATCATCACCAGAGGGCTACAACGAACGATCACATTTAAAGTTGACTGATTCATCTGTTCTGTTTCTGTGATTAATACATTTATAGTTTTGTTTAAAAATGTATTTCAAGTTTATTTACATACATTATATGATAAATAAAAGCATCAAATCCTCATGTTTAAGAAGTTAGAACTGGAAAATGTTTTCATGAAATTTATCAAAATAGTTGATTCATGTATAAATCATTTAAGCTCTAACGCAGCAAAGTAACATTAAACATAAGATGTTGATGTCTGTTCTCTGCAGGTGTTGTTAGCAGAGTATAAAAGCACCGGTGAGATGTTCGCCATCAAAGCTCTGAAGAAAGGCGACATCGTGGCTCGTGATGAGGTGGACAGGTAAATATTTTCATCACTGAACAGAGGGAAGATCAGCAGTCGGACTCAAACTGAAAGAGGTTGAAAGAAGACTCGTTTGAGTGGATGTGACATTCTTCTCTGCTGCTGCGACTTCTCACGTGATCTTTTCATCTTTTCTAGTCTCATGTGCGAGAAGAGGATTTTCGAAACGGTCAACAGCGTCCGCCACCCGTTCCTGGTCAACCTGTTTGCGTGTTTCCAGACACAGGAACATGTTTGTTTTGTCATGGAGTACGCAGCGGGAGGCGACCTGATGATGCACATCCACGCTGATGTGTTCTCTGAGCCCCGGGCTGTGTGAGTGACCAGAGCTTTAACTACTCAGTGAAGAAGTTCTCACTGTAAATGATCTTAAAGTGAGGTTTTAGTGAGTGCCATTTGGATTTCATGATTGAGTCTGTTGATGAGTTTTCTTGTATCTGATTTATGGGCAGTAATATTGTTTTTACTGATTTAAACTGAAGTTACATGTCACCTGCATTCGACAGCATCCAGATTTTGTCTGGAGCATTTTACTGGGAATTCTGGGCAAAAATGTCTTTTGCATTTCCTGTATAAACTTGCACACTCGGTTCCCTCAGTTAAAAACATTTTTCAGTAAAGCTTGTGTAATGAAATTTAGTGGCTGTTCCCCTTTAGTCGATTCCGTCTGTGTTACACTAAGTATGGGATATCTCTCCTGCGTGGCCTGACATCCCATACTTTATGTGTTTGTACCTCGTTCCTCTCCTTCGGGGAATATTAAATGGAAGTCATAACATTTTGTTTTGTACCTTAACAGATTCTATGCAGCCTGCGTTGTACTGGGATTACAGTTCTTACATGACCATAAGATTGTCTACAGGTAACAGTTTGCAACATTTTAAATGCACAGTTTATTTCTATGAGAAGCATCAAGGCTCCAAAATGAAAGTTGGTTCTTGTTTGTTTTAATTTGCAGAGATTTGAAGCTGGATAACCTGCTCCTGGACACAGAGGGCTATGTCAAGATCGCTGACTTTGGACTTTGCAAAGAAGGTAAATGTGGAGAAGACAATAACTGAAAAGATTCAGACTGTTGTTGTTGAACTGAGTAATGTGGCAAATAGTTCCATATATTTTATTTTCATCGATTAAAGATAAACAGTTCTGAACATTAGCAGTTTGTCGTCTGTATCTCTGTTGAAGACAAAATTGAGTGAGATCAATTTTATGTCTCCATTATAAACATATTGTCTCATCACTAAAAGACACGTTTAACAATTCAAAACTATATTCTACGTTTGGTCAACATATCTGTTATAAATGGGTCAAAGCCCAGATGACAGATGATTCTCTTTTTTAGTTGAGTAGGGTTTGTTCTGAACTAAACTGCATCTGTGTTGCAGGAATGGGTTTCAGGGACCGCACCAGCACGTTCTGTGGCACCCCCGAGTTTTTAGCCCCTGAGGTGTTGACTGAAACATCGTACACCCGCGCTGTGGACTGGTGGGGGCTGGGCGTCCTCATCTTTGAGATGCTGGTTGGAGAGGTGAGTCCGTTCTTTCTCTACATTAGACACTGAATATTAATGTCCTACTACTCCACACAATCCTCTGAGGTAACGTTGAATCATCATTTCCATCTCTTTCAGTCGCCCTTCCCCGGTGACGATGAGGAGGAGGTGTTTGACAGCATCGTCAACGATGAAGTCCGCTACCCACGATTCCTCTCAACTGAGGCCATCTCCATCATGAGGAGGGTGTGTAGAAAAGACTGTGAATGATTTCTAATGAACAATCAAACAAGTGCCAGAGGATTCACATAGTAAATAACCAATACGTGTGTTTTCCCAGGAGTTCATCAGTTTTAATCATGTTTTCTTCTTCTTGCGTTCAGCTTTTGAGGAGGAGCCCAGAGCGACGCCTGGGAGCAGGAGAAAAGGACGCGGAGGAGGTTAAGAAACATCTATTCTTCAGGGTAAGAAGCAAAGAAATACAAACACTCTGCTTTGGGTTTTTTTCTATTTTTGATGTTATAGGAATAGTTTGACATTTTAATTTGAACAGATCCAGGCTTTATATTTCTCCAGTTTCCAGTTTTAATGCTAAAACAAACCTAACAGTTGTTGCTACTTTCGCTTTAAAACAAGTTGACACTCTGTCTCTTGGCAGCACATGGATTGGAACGGACTGCTGGCAAAGAAGGTGAAACCACCGTTCGTGCCGACCATCCAGGGCACCAATGACGTCAGCAACTTTGACGATGAATTTACCTCAGAGGCTCCGATCTTAACCCCGCCCAGGGAACCCCGAGTGCTGCGCTCTGAGGAGCAGAACATGTTCTCTGACTTTGATTACATTGCTGACTGGTGTTAGCTTCACATGACTCCTCACTCTATACACACACCAACAAACACACTGACACACACACACACACACACACACACACACACACACACACACACACATACACACTGTGAACCAACCAACACAGCAGTGACTGTAGCTCATGTGTTTTTAAAACTCTTCCTCCTCCCTGCCCAAAACGTTGAGGAGGAGCAGCGGACATGGCTCCTCGAGCCTTCGGGCAAAAACCTTGTGCCATTGAGAAGAAAATTAAGTTGCCTCCCGAGGACCCCCACTTATTTTTTTAATCCACATGAAGAACTTTTTTTTTTAAGAAAAAGAACAAAAGAAACTCTGTTGTTGGAGAGTGAAGGAGGAGGGATGCTGTGTCCTCCTGCACACGTAGTCGTCGTCGCCGTGTCCGTTGTCTGACCACTGAGAATGTTTTTCATATAAACTCTGAGAAGACGGCAACAAATCACAATCATGTTATTCAGTGTCACTGTCTGAAGTTTTTTGATCTGTACAGATTATATTCAGTCGTATATTTTATTGTCATGTCTTGTTTTATTTGCAAAATCCCTCGCCGTAGCTTTAGGACATTTTTATCTCACTGTAAAGTTTGACATTTCTGCCGCCATCGTGTGTGAGACTGGTGTTCAGTGAATTTTCGAAAGTGCTCAAAGCATCATCGCTGAACTACAACAAACATCTTGACTACTACTGCTGCTCCTCGACTTGAAAACGAAGTAAACACTTCATCCGTGTGTGTCGGGGCCCAGCCCTTGTTCACGAGCCAGTTAAACACCTGGTTTTCTCACTTTGCAAGTTTGCATGTGTGCTGAGAAGATCCCACACAATAATAATAATAATACTCTAAAACATCAGTCACGCTTCTTAAGCTGTTAAATAAATGAACATCACGAAGTTTCAGTTGGAAGCTTCACATTGGAAACGATAAACACTCAAACAATGCAGAATATTTAAATGTCTCTGACGCCCTCTAGTGGCTCTTCAGCTCAACTCAGCTCAGCAGATGCAAGTTCCACATGGTATCTCAGCATCTTGAGGAGTAAAAATCAAAACTTGATAATAGATTTATAATTTTTTGTCAGAACTGAGTTCAGCTGGCTCTTGTTTTTTTTTCTCTCATTCCACATTTAAGGGTCAGTTGTGGATCTCAAATTTTTTTTTTTTCTCATTACCTCATTAGTGAAACTGAGTCTCACCATTACAGCTACACGACCAAATCCCTCCTGTTCCTTTTACAGCAGCAAACAAAATCTTTGATCTGACTGATGGACTGAAAGTGAACCTATTGACAGATGATTTTTTTTTGGCCGGGGGCGGCACAGATTAAAGTTAATTTAGGTCTAAACGCCATTGAAATGCTCCCCTGACTGTTTCTGTGACATTTTTTTTATGCTGGAACAGTGAGGCCAGCAGACGACTCTTGTCAGTTTGCATGTTGAATATGAACTGACTCTAATGTTGCAGACCTGTTGATATGAAACACTACAGGGAAGGGCAGGGTATATTATATATACATACTGTATGTACACAATTAAGCTGAAAGCACTAATTTTATCAATAGTTTTAATTATCTACGTTTCTTAATGATGAAAATAGATTGTACAAAGTTTTTTCCTTTTTTTAAATTCTTTGCTTGTGCATGTTGTCGCCAGAACAGAACTTTATGGATGGTACACACCGATACCCGAGTCACTAGAGTCGCTGTTCACCCTGGTGTAAAAAAAAGGCATTTTTGCAGTCATTGTTTGTTGCCTATCATGAATGCACAAATTAAACATTTGTAATAGTTCCTTTGGTTTTATTTGTAGTTGCAACTATTTCCCTTGGGTGTTTTTTTTTCCTTTCTGTGACATTTTATTGAATGACTGAGATTTTATATAAACGATTACCTTGCTTTACTGAAAAACATTTTTTAATATTTTCTTTTATTACTTAGAACAATTGAAACAAACTAACAAAATAGAAACTGGTCATTTTTCTACAGAAACATTTTTTTATGTATACAGTATGAAACCAGCCTAAAATTTGCAAGCATCAAATTACACATTCCCACTTGCACATATATACATAGTACAGTATATACACACAAATGAAATTCTGTAAGTGCAGTCTGCAAGCTAGTTTCTTTCAGCACTGGAATGTGTCCGTCTTATTCCTTGGAGAGCGCCTCGATAAAGGGCCTGAAGTCTTTAGAAGAGACAAAGAGAAATCGTCCAAATTCAACACAAATTTTTTTTTTTTTTTTTAAAAAAGCATGAAAAAAAAAAGTGTAGGCAGGGTCTTCACAGCTGAGGCAGCTTGTCGACGGGTGTGTCGAATTTGAAGTCTGGAGGGAAAAGTTCCGCGGCCCGCGGGTAGATGAGTCGGTATGACTGTCTGATTGTGACGTCTGCGACCCCGGCGATATCTCCGATTTCTGTGGAAGATTCAGAGACAAAGCTGAAATACTTGAACTGCAGTAAATCGACTAGCATCTACTGAGTTTCCAACGATAAATAACTGGAGAAGCATCATTTAGAGCTAGTGTCTGGATCTTATAACTGCCCACTACTTTCTCTCTTGTTTACCAATACATTGATTAACAATAACATGTACTTACACATACAATACAGTGTTTGCTGAACCTTCCACCCTTTATTTGGATCATTAACTTATGAACCTCAGTTTCTGGTCTGTTTCCCACTTTCAGGTTCGGACCTAAAAATACTTTGAACATTTATACCTTAGAAAAAAGTACAGATATATCTGTTTTCCTCCTCTGGTCTAAACTCAACAGATATTCAATCACCTTTCTGGGTCTTCTTCTCTGCGGAGGCCTGGGAGGCCATGTAGATAGCTGCCGCGGCCACAGAGATCGGGCTCCTGCCGGGCACCAGGTCGAGCTCCACAGCCTTCCTGGCGATGTAGGTGGCCGCCATCTGCACATGCTTGGGCAGCCCGAGGTTTGAGCAGAAGCGGGACATGAAGTCTCCCGTGGTGATTAGGTCCACGCTGGTCTCCAGCGCCTTCAGGATCAGCTTGAAGCATCTACCGATCTCCTTCTTGGAGATTCTAGAGACGGCGCAGATCTCTGTAGAGGAAACAAGGAGTTTAATTTGGACCGAGAAAGAAAACTGAGTCACAATAAAATCTGCGTTTTTCAAGTTGTTTTATCCAGGTCCTCCTGTAACTTCCACGACAAGATGATCGAAGAGAAGATCATGTCATAAAACCTTACTTTTATTTATATTCTTGTTTCAAACTGCACAGTCAAAAGACATTATTGAGTAACAGGAGAGAGGTGAGAATATACACCACAAAACGAAACGAGTTAAGTAAAGAAAACTTCTGGTATTCCTTTATTAACAACATTGTCTCTTAATTTCAGAACAATTAAGTAGAAATGAGTCTTTTGAATTTTAAATTAACATAAGTAAAAGCAAAATTAAGATTGTGGTTTCTCGCCACTTGAGTTTAAAGTCTGACAATTCTTAAATTCTCAAGCCTCTTTTGGAATTGTGGTTTGTATATATGTTGAGAAATGTGTCATTCTTCAAGAGCAGCTGTGACTTCAACAGTCTAACAGGGAATCCAACCGATGATTGTTACCTTTAAAAGTTCTCGGTACGCCTTCTTGCCTGCAGGCGATGTAGAGACAGGCTGAAGCGATGGCATCGTTGGCTCGTCCCTTCAGGCTCTTCTGTTCATACACTTGCTTGAATAAGTTGTTTGTTCTGTCCTGCAGAGCAAGAAGATTATTTACAGCAAACTCATTACTAGCAATTATTACTGAAAGCCTTCATGACAATCTTCTTGTATTCAATAGTGTAAACAAAAACTAAGAATTGAAATCGAACCACAACAGTCACAACATCACATCTTTTTTAATTCATTTTAAAATCAGTCTGCAATCAACGCACACTGCAGACACATTCATACACATTCATACACATTCATACACAGAATTACATAATAACCACAAGTTTCTGTTGCTCTTGTTCACCATGTTTTTTCCACACATGTATGTGGCTTTCGTTTCTCTCTCTAGCAGCTTTCTAAGACAAAATTAACTGTGGGGTTCCCCGCTGGATTCACTATGAGTGAGTGAGGGGGTGAGTGAGGGGGTGAGTGAGGGGGCGGCTTGATGCTTCAAACGCCCGGCGCTAAAATGAAAACAAATATGTCCCGGTGAAAAAGTAGTCCAGAGAGACTTCTTACAAAACACTGTGAGTGACTCAGAACGAGGTTTAAACTGAGAAGACACTGATGAAAATGTCAAGAGAACCCCCCCC